GGCAAGAATCAGCTGATAATTCTTACCGTGATCTTGTCGGGTCACTGTAGACTTAAGGAGCACCTCAGCAGGCTGGGCCTGGAAAGCGAAGACACTTGCATGTTCTGCGAGGAAGATAGAAAGATTTCAGTAGTGTTGTTCTCGGTCGTCGGAGACCGGCGGTGGAGGTGCTGTTCTCCGCGCTTCACAAGGTGCTTGAGTACATTAGGGCGGTGGATCTCGAGCGAATGCTGCAGGGCGAAGGTACAGTTGATCCTTATACGTGGTTGCGATGCACTGTTACCCCGGTTTTACAAATCTGCAATCTACAATCTACGAAGTACAATACGAAGGATGTAGAATATGTTTATATTAGCACACATAGTGGATGTGTAATTATAAACACAATTTATTGTTAAACACATTAATTTTGAACTTAATTTGATTTTAAATCGGGCACTATGATGGGAAACTTACCTTACTAATTACGAATCTAAGTCTCTGACGTTAAGACATATGAAACAAAAATAACATATTTTTAGGAGCAAAAAAGAAAAAACCAAAAAAGAATTAAAAGTTTACACAGTGCAGTGGGCTTAAGTGTTCTTCACAAAAGCAGAAAAATTCGTGCAGGCTTTATTTATATTTTTTATAAAATTAAAAAATATTTTGTACTGAAACTTTAAAAATTTTACATTTGATAAATCAAAAGAGTTCAGTCATTGTTACAGGCTTATAATTTTTTTTATAAATTTTGGTAAGTATTTGTCATCGAAAAATTTGACATCCGACCAGTGTACGTGAAATCAGGCTGTCATAAAAATTCTCTGCAATCGGGGACTCCAAATGTTTGACTGTAATACTGATTTTCATTAACACTGCCAAGTTGTTATCGTCTTAATATTTCATAATGATATTTCAAAAAGCAAAATCACGTTTTGATAATATGAATAATGCTAGCATAATTGTCGTTAAAAATGCAATTTTAGTTACGTAAAATTTTTGCAAGGCATTCCGGCAGGTAATATAAGCATATACACACATTTATTTGTATTAACATAACCAAAATAAGAATGAGCTCGAGTTGAAAATGCTTCTTACTCTTTTTTCCTTATTACTTTTTTACTTTAGCTTAAATTAAAGAAAATCAAAGTGATTTGAGTTGTACAAATATCAATATGTATATGAATGAATGTGTGTTTGTCCAGTTATAATATTGTGCAAGGAAACTGTGTGCAAGAAAGAAAGCTACCTATGTATATTTTACGGGTGTGTGCGTGTGTGTTTACAAGTAATTATTTGTTAACGTATTTAGTTTTTTTTGTTATATTTCAATTTTTTTGTGTTTGTTTGTATATGTAGGAACTCACGCTGATTTGTGTGTGTGTGCTATTTTTATGTTAAGCTTTTTTTTCTTATTTAAGAAAGGATAATTCTTGTGAATGGAAAGCTCAAGGAATTACAAAAGTTTTTTTATGGTTTTTTCTTGTGCTATTTTTTGCATTTCTTTTTATTTAATTTTACTGGACTGTTTTACGTTAGTTTTTTAGTTGTGTTTTTTTTGTCTTTTCTTTTTTTGCCGTAATTTTTGACATAAAAAAACGTGTTGCCGATTTTAAAGAAATTTCATAGAAGTAAAAAAATAACAACGCCAAATTTTTGATTTTTAAAAGAAAAAACCCAAAGAAAATCAAAAATTTATTTTTATATAGAAAATTTGTGGAAAAATAAATCTAAATTATACGCAAGAATAAATTTACTAAAATAAAACCGAAAAATTTACCCAGTTTCTTTCACTTTAAAAGTAATTAGACATATTTGTTCTTCCTTGTGCTTTCTATCTTGTATAGGAAATATAACCTAACAAGATTTCAACAAAGTTTCCTACTTTCTTCGAACATTTCGTTTACAACGTTAAATAAATAAATTATATAAAAGCAACATACGGGGTTGTATAACAAACATATACACACACATTTAAGTGGATATAAATATTGTATATATAATTACAAATTAATAAACACATTTGTAATCATTTTTAAGTAACTATATAATTCTTATTTACACACACATATACATATATGATATTGTATATAGAGGTGTATGAGAAACGGCACGTTTTTAAAATTATATCAAAAAGAAACAAAAAATGCTTTAGAATGTTTTCTTCTATAAAATTATTAAAGATTTTATTAATAGTAACGTAAATATGAGTACATTATTTATGTAATTGGATATATTATTCTTCTTTATTAAAAGAACAGAAAAAAATAGCAGAAGTAAAAACGGATATCCTTTTCTCTCTCTTTTAATTTTGCTTTTTCCTTTTCTCTATACTTTTTATGAAATAAAAGTTTCATATTTATTTTATTTCCCTTTGGAATTTTTGTTTCAAAGGAAGAATTTCAAAAAATATTTTTATACTTCCCAAATTTCATAAATGCGTTTTGCATTTCTAGTGATTTTTCGTGTGCTTCTTCATAGTGATTAAGGAATTTCCACTTTAACTCTTGATAATGGTCAGATTTTCAAGAATTTTTTATCTTCATTCAAATTTCTTCTTAACTTGATTCTAATCTCAAAGAATCGAATTTTGAACAGTAAAATTTAACAGTGCTGCTTAAATCATTATCGTTCTCTAAAAAAATTCCCTAATAGATTTTTTTCGAAGGAGAGGAGAAAAGAACGTAACAAAAATATACTGACAAAGCGGAATGAATGAAAATAGCAAAAAGATAAATTGTAATTTATTTTTGTTTTTCTAATTAGCAATACGAAAAATGTATGTATGTATAACGATATAAATATAACTGCAAAACTGATTTTCTTTTATTCAACCCGAACAGTTCCCGTCGAATAAAGAGCAAATCCACATAAAAAATTCTATATAAATAATATATAATTTACTAACACAAATAAATAATTCACTCATACAAACACACATCAATATTTTATGCATATTATATAGTATATTTCTTATAAAATTGTCTAATAAGGATATCCAGGATATGACAAAAGAAAAAAACAAAATTAAATAAGAAAAAATTAAATTTTACAAAGAATAAAATTAACAAAAAAAAAGAAAAAGAAAATGGCGTTTTCATTCTATTTTTAACGTTTTCCATTCTGTTTTTTATTATTTTTCTCTTGTATTTGCCTTCTTTTTTTCATGTTTTATTTTTTCAAGGACGAAACGAATAACTCGTATACATATACATATATTAATTTAACTATATATGTAGCTCCCATGTATATGCAAAGTATTTTGTGTAGAAATACCAAATAATTGACATTGGGTTGTAATTTGAAACGTGGGATGTAAAAGAAAGAAAAAAAAAGGAGAAAGAAAAAAACAAAGGACGAAATTTGTTTTATGCCATTATCCTTATGATTGCTGTTATTTTTTTGTTGTTTTTATTTATTTTATTCAGATTTTGTGTTTTTAATCAAGGATTTTTTTTTGTTTTTTTTCTTTTTGGCAAAGTTTGAGATTTTTCAACTTACGTTTTTGCTTTATTTATTTATTACTTTCTTTTTATAAACTGAGGGTATCTTGTTTGTACATACACACACACAAATATGTAAAAATGAAAAGATTTTTTTTAAATGTAGCGACAAGCAGCTTTTCTTGTTCTATTTATTTTTCTTTGACTCTCCACTATTCATGGTGTAAGTTTTTTTAAATAAAAATTACAATGTGTAGGTGTGAGTAGGTTAAACAAAAAGAAGTGTTGGTAATCTATATAGCAAAAAAGTTGAACAAACAAAAAAAAAGGAAAAATTCTTGGTATTATTTGTCAAAATATAACGGTAAATTGTATATTTATAAATAACAGAGGCTGTTTTTCTCGGTTTATTGCTGTTGTTGTTATTCTTTTGCTCAGTTATACATAAATTGTTTGTTATTCTGCTGTTGAATGGTAAAAGCATGGCAACTAAAAAAGTAATTTGAAAAAAAAAACTTGGTTGAAAATATGAGTAAAAAATAGAAGGAAAAATCATGAAGAAAATAATGCAGAATTGCAAAAAAAAAAAAGAAAAAAGGAAACAGGTCGCCTTCTAATAATTAATTGAACTTTAAAAATACACATTAGATTACTTCCATTATAATTATTAAAGTTCTATTGGGTTACGTGGGTATATTTGTGCTCTTATTTTGTACTTGCTGCTTCTTTTTCTATGGTTAATTGCTATATAAATTTTGTTGATTGAAATTTATAGAAGATCTTTTTTTTTGCAAATTTTAATTGAAATTTAAAAAACTTATCTAAGAGATTCTTATACGGGGAGAGAAGATTTGTCTATTTAGAGAATATACTAAGATAATGGTATTTGATTCTCTTTAATTAGTGAACAAATTTATTTATACCATGTGATCAACGGTTATTCTAAATAATATTTCGAATTTATCTGAAATCCATAGATGTATTTAGAAAAATAACAAAGTTAGTAGATCGCCTAAAATGATGCTCCAACTAAACTATAAATTTTAATATTTTTTTCAATAAGAAGTCAGTTTTATTTAATATTTAACATTAACATTAATAATTAACAGTTTTATTTTAATATTAATTTAGCAAAGTGAAATTTTTCATTTTATTTATTAAACAAAAATTAAATGGGGAACATTTTATAAAACATACTCGTGTATGCACATTAAGAAATATTTAATAAGGTTTTATAATTAACCATTAATCGCTATTTATTTTACACACAATAAAGAATTAATTATTATTACAAAAAATCATGAATCCACAATGTGGAGTATTAAGCATTAAGTTTGATTTATTTTCTCTAATTATTATTTATTAAAATTAATTTCCTTGTATCATAAGAGAATATTATATTCTCATCCCTCCTCTATAAAAAAATTGATTGTGAATTACTTAAAATAAAAAAAAAAATAATTTTTATGTAATTTTCAATTTTAATAATCATTAAAATTAAATTTGAATAAATAAATTTATAACACTAACTGAATAACATTCCCATAGTAAATAATTTACATGAAATTTACATACCTTGCTGCATAATTATTAATAAAAAGATTTTATGTGTGCCTAAAAAGAGAAAAAAAAAATAAAATATTATGCAAACAAATTTAAAAGTATAATGAAAAGATTTAAATATCAGAAATTTTTCAATCTATAGCTTGCTATAGAAATAGAGCTGAAAGGTGTTCGAAAAAATATTAAGAAATATGTAACAACAATTCGTACTCTGAATCGCTAGCATACAAAGAGAATGTAGGTAAAATCGAGTTAACAGCAATAACTCATAAAAATAGAAATTTAGAGTAATTATTGCACGAAATCGAGTATTGTAACTTTACTGATTAATAAGAATCAATTTAATACAATAGTTCTTGTGAAAATGAGTGTTCTGTAAGATAATTTTTCTCTAGAAATATTGATTAGTGTGTAAACCAAAATAATAAAAAAACTTTCGTTAATTGTTTGTGTTATAATTCAAAAGCGATTAACATACAACTCTTTATACGTACAAATCTATGAAAAGTTTCGTAATCACTTAATGATTTTCGTGTTTAATTAATTATTTTTAATAGGACTGAAGAAGGATACTTTTGCTTTGTTATCCTTTTACAATAATATTGGTTATACTATCATACCTGAAGCCTGTAATTGACAGTTAATCTTACCTTCATTTCCTTTAGAGATTTTTTTATTGCCTTGCTCTTCTTCTTCTTTTGTTTTTTTTTCTTTTTATGATTCAATTTTCTCCATTTTTTTTTTTGTTGCAGTGTTGTTGTTTTTTAAAATATTTGTTACTAAAGTATTTTTCATCAATCAAATTTTATTTTAGAATGTTGTTTTTTTCTTACATAACTCTGTTATCCGGAGAATAAACAAGCAAACAAACAAAGGAAAGAAAAAAAAATTATAAAACATTTTCATTCACCATTATTTACCGTTAAACTGTTATTGGCATTAGTAACCACATAATCTTAGATATGAAAAAAAGGTTTTTGTACATATGTAAATGCATAAAAATACAATATCCACCACATATAAGAAGCGCTTTTTAATACATAATTCGTATATTATTTTATGGTCAAAGTATATAAAACTAATTGGTTTAATGACAGTAAGAAAAAAAAACTAAAAATGATAAAAATAAAGTATTTTTTTATTTGAATGTATGAGTGAGATTTAGCATACATATTTTACGTATTTATGTGTGAATGTACAAACTATGAAATAGGAAAAACAAAAGAAAAAGCAAATACAAAATAATGACAGGCGAAAATTAAGAAGTAAAATAAAACGAAAAACCGTATTTTCACGGTTAATTACATTGACATAAAAATGTTCAAATTGACCTTGTTAATGACCTTACTCATTATTTCAGGAGCAAGGGTACACGTACGTTTCGTGTTTGGTCTTATTCTTCTTTTTTCATAACTTTTTATCCTTTCTTTATTTCTTTTTTTGTTTGTATTTCCACTTTTAAAGAAAGAAATGGAAAATGGGGGACATTTTCATTTTTGGTTCTAAAATTAAACATAGAAATAAAAAATATAGAAGTTTCTTTTTAAATAAAAATCATTATTTTAATTGATTTCTTTCTTTCATTCTTTTCTAATGGAAATTAAAGTAATACTGGATAAATCGTGAAGTTTTCCTTGATTCAGTTAATTTTGTTCATAAAAGTGCTTTAAAAATGAGCTTTATTAAAACTCTGTCTGATCACTCATTCTGATCATTGTGCTACAGTTTATAAAAATACAAATTAAAAGTTGAAATTTCGCTGATTCAAATTTTGTCTGTCGCTCAGGTTATTGTTACTCAAAGTCCTAAAAATATCAGATTTTTGGGGCATATTATCTGAATACCATACCTCTCTCTATTTAAAAGAATAGAATAAGAAAATCTTAGTTAAACTATGCCGAAATCACAAATCAGAAATTCTTTAAAAATTTTATTAAATTGCTTATATATATTTGTAAATGCATATTTTATTTTATTAGAACAAAATTATCATCTTTCGCTTCTGAGTGGCCTTTTAAATTTAATAAAATTTCAATCAAAACCAGTTATTTTTTTCTAAATTTTCAGTAAACTGTAGTTTTTTTATAAGACAAAGAATATAACAATAAATTAAGATTTGCATTTCTTAACTTATTATTCAATAATCTGATTATTTACTCCTAAATGTATGTAATATTCTACGTTGTTAGTAAATTATTTTAAAGATTTTTTTTTAACATTTCCGCCTTCAAAGTTCTTAGAAATAATGTCAGCTTTTTGCTCACATAATTGAAATAAATTATACTATACTTGACAAATTATTGGTTTCTACTTAAACGTGTGAGCTTTAATTTGAAATGAACTAAAGAAAATTAATTTGTGTTAAGTAAATTAAAGAATAAAATACTTTCTTTTACTTTTGTATGCTTATAGTCGAAAAATGTTGTGCAGTTATATAAGCTCACTTTTACAGGATTCCTATAATTTTCAATTTTTGTTAAGTTCCGCCTTTTCAAAATTCCCATTAACTTGTGATTATTAACTTTCCCATTCCCATTAACTTGTTCCTAATTTCTATATATTAAACTTATGCTCAACATTTTGAATAAGAAGCTTTCCTTAAACGCAACTATTAACTTACTCTCTTTACAATTGGAATTAATAAGGTATATAATAGACTTTCTAAAAAAAAACGTTTCTATATTTCCAAAATTTCATTCTTTGTTTCTTATTTTAGTTAGAATAAATAAATTTTGTACACCTAAAATCTATATTACGTATATGTTTGAATATTTCCATGCATAATAACCCGCATACATATAAAAAAGTATACATATGAACGTCTATTAACACATGCATACATTAATAAATTTTCCGTTATTATGTGAAAATTACAAACACATTTACACATTTCCTACCGTTCTGTTTGAATAATCAAAGAAAATAAAGTTTTCTTTTTGTACATTTTCCGGCATTTCATTTACGTTGGCGTTTTCGATTTTTTTTTCACTCTAAAAACAAGAATTTAATTTTTTTTAATAACTTTTTTATAAAAAACAAAAAGCACAAAATTTTCACAATTTTTCATCATAAAATTTTCACTTTCATGTGTCAAAAATGAAAATTTACTAAATTATTTTATTTTATTTTTCGGTTTTACAATTTTTTGTTTTTTTTTCTTGCAGTTTTTGTTGTTTTTGCAAAAAGTTTCATTCAGTTTTTTTCAAAAAAAAAAATTTGTTTTCTTCTTTTTTGTGTTTGCTTATTGGTGTTTATTTTGCTTTTTTAAGATTATTGTTGTTTTTATTTACACAATAAAATTTCTATCAGAGCAAAAATGTAAAAAGGAAAAAAAAAACTAAAAAATATTTTTTTTTTTAATTTATCCGTAATACGCCAATTTTAATATTAGAGCATCGAAGAGCTTTTCACTCTGACAAGAATTTTGGAATTTTTGGCAACAATTTTTCGTTTTTCTTTTGTACTTTTATGCTCTCGTTTATCTTTCATGTTTTAAAAAGCTGGACGAGTAATAAAGAAAAAAATAAAGAAAGAAGAAGAACGGAATACTAAAATGAACTCACATTTTTACTTTTGGCGTTCAAAAGTTTTCAATAAAGTAATAAACGATTACCCAAAACTTGCAGCTGTAGAAAAGAATTTTGGAGGCTTGCAAATTTTGATGATAAGAAAGGTATGTGTGAAAATTTTTGAATAACCAACATTCATTTATTGTTCAATTCTTAGTGCGGAAGCTGTGAGGTAAGAAAGAAGTATAGGGGGCAAATAAACTTCATGGAATATTCTGGGTTCCTAAATAGAAAAAAAATATTTTTGTTTTTAGAACAAATTTTTTTGACAAGTTGTGCTTGTTTTGTCATTACTTTTATCGCATTGTAGTTTTTAGTATACAAACCAGAGCCGCAAATATGATCTCAACCTTAATTTGATTTCAAATTCATAATACAAAAATTTCTTTGCAAATTCAAAAATATTTGTACACACCCGTGCGTGCTGCATACATACATACTTATATCGCTGGCAAAACTGTGATACCACGTAAGTGGAAATATTTCCAATATGAAAATATGAAAATTATTTAAAGAATATGTAATTATTTATTAGTTTTTACTGTTTCGTAAATTTAAAAGATGGATTGTTTGACATTTCCTAAACAGAAAATTGGTAAAGTACTTTTGGAAATATTTGCACTTACGTGGTATCACAGTTTTGCCAGCGATATACATATATACATATAAATGTACTACAAAATATTTGTTAACATTATGTAAAATAAAATTTCACTTATTTCAGAACTTCAAAGAGCACAGATTATAGAAAATGTGAACCAGAATACCTGCAATATAAAACAGCAACAATATTGTAAAGCGAAAATAATTATGAAATTAATGTAAAGCAAATATGAACATTTATACTCACATAACCAACACACCTACACGTAATGGCGAACATCACAATAAATAGAGAGAGTCCAAAAAATTAGAGAAAAGAAAAAAAAACGAAGAAATGAGAAAAAAAAAAACAAAAATAAAACAGAGAATGGAAAATTTCCAGACTGGGAAAATTTTAATTTTATTTCCTTTCTCAAAATTTTTTTCTCTTTATTTTTGGTTCATATTCAATTAAGTTAAGTATATGCAGTGAAATGAAGTAAGAAATTAAGAGAGCGAAATTAAAAAAAATGAGAGAGATCAACAAAAACCGTTTTTTTTTATTACTCAATTTAATAAAGTAGTAAAATAATAACGACTACACAATAAACAAAGAAAAGAAACCAATTTAGTAGTAACAAATTTGTAGTAGCGCATGAGCACACCATACTATTAATAGAACAAATGAACGATTACAAATGTTACAAAAACTTTAAAAACCAAATAAGGGAAAAAAGTACAATAAAAGAAAATAAAAACTTTTGTTTTTTTAATTTACTCGTTTATTATGCAGAAAACATTTCACCGTAAGGTCTGAAAATTTTTAAATATTCCTGAAGAGATGACAGATAATTTTCCAATGGTTTTTTTTAACTCTCTTCGAGAAATGAAAAAACTTAAAAAATTTGGTCTAAAGAAGATCCAGATATCAACATTGCAATCAACATAATAAATTTGTTTATATAAAACTAAGAAATAGTACTACTATTTTACTAATTTTCATTTACTGCTGCCTTTTAAGTGGCTTATACTGTACTATTCAAAAGTATGTACTATTCTCGCACATAATAATGACTTTGTAAATAAAATATTATAAATGTTTAATAAAAATATGTATAACAGTATTTTTCTAAGCAATTGTGTATGTGTGAAAATCATTAGTGTTTATGTAATTTCATCACATGTTCTCAATAAGTTTATAATTTATTTTGTATATAAAAACCTACAGTTTGCAATATTTGTAGGAATCTAACAATATTTTCTGTGTATGTATATGTTATGTTTATACGAATGTTAGTTCTATTAAAGCGATTTTATTTTTGGCATCTTAATTCTGAAATGTTTATGGTATGCGATAAAAACAAAAAGAAAATTTCGTATATATTGGTGTAGAATAATTTATTGTTATTACAAGTGCGTAGGTTCCTCGTGAACATAGAATAACTTTTACATATGTTTATGGGTCTTGAAAATTATACAAGCTTATCATATGAGAAGAGAAATAAAAACCGTACGATAATTACAAAAAGCGTACAACAAGCAATTAATTTAAATATATTAAAAGCGTAAGTATATTTTTTACAAAAAAGTTAAGTTAAAATATTTTGTTACCAAAGGAAATTTTACGAGATGAGCAGTTAAAATTTTATTTATTTAATTTAAAATTTCACTTTAGTTACAAAATTGTTGACTTTTAAAAGTCTTTGTTCTTATAGTTGAATTCCAATATTTACTAAAATATTTGGAATCTTTGTGTTTTAAATAAATCCAAGAAAAAAAAATAAAAACGTTTTTAGAGCGATAAGTGGCGTAGCTTTTAAGTGGTGTGAAATTAATCTTGAACTAATTAAAATAAATTCAATTTTGCAAAATTAAATTAATTTCAATAAACAATAGAATATTTACATAAATCAAGTATTTATTTATACAATTTTATTTTAAAGAAATTTCTTTGTTGTAAAACGTTTTTGTTATTTTAGAAAAAAAGTCTTTTGAATCTTAAGTCAATTTAAATTGAGTTAACTTTGAGTTTGATTTCTAATTGAACTTAAAAAATAATTTCGTTTTTTTCTGGCAAAAAAACTCATTAACTAAAAGACAATTTCAAATTTGTTATTTTATTAGAATAAATCATTAAATTAGAGGGCATGCTGCTATTATTATGTCACTGCGTAACATGAACCTGTTCTATTTATTCAATTATACCATCTGTTTATGATGAAATTGGAATTTTTTTATTCCTGGGATATCAACAAAGAAAACTTGAAGAGTGCAAAAGTTCTGATTAGCAAACAAACAAAAATTATTACAAGTAATGCAACTATGAACATACTCGAACAGTAAATCCCTCGATTAGTAATACAAAACTTCAAATATTAAAAGAAAACATGAAATTTCAAAAAATCTATTAAACACTTCTACAATTTCTTATTCGTTTAAATAACATATCGGGGAATTTCCAGCTTTCCAGAATTGGATTCCAGCTGTAGACAAAAGAATTTTCAAATATTTTTATTTTATAACATTTTAACATAATATTTATGTAAATTTTGAATATATTCATAAATTTTACAAAATTCCCATGTTTTAAGCAAACATTAATATACATACATACATATGTATATCTAAGAATATATTGTTCACTATTTTTTCAGGATTAAAAATAACAGAATTTATTATTGTAAGTGATGTCATAATTATTTCAACTTATTAAAAGGCAATGATTTACGATAGTTACGTAAATCCATTATAAATGTGATTCAAATGGTATACATATATATTAATTTTAATAGTAATTCAAGGCTCCATTGACTTGTAATGTTCGAATTGTGGCTGAAACAAAAAAGAATTCACGGGAATTTTTTTTAATGTTTTTATTTTTTTGTGGTTAACCTAATACAATATTCTCGTTGTAAATTCAATTCTTAAATAAATAAAAAGCCAACAAATAAAATCCCAGCTTGTTAATAAAGTCCACTATGGTATGAACATGGGTGTAATTTCCATTAATGTTTTCTTTGCCCTTACTTGAAGTTTTACAGTAATTTGTTTTTACCCCAAACTTTTCCGTTGCAAAAATTATTAAGTAATGAAATTTTCAATTAATAAAAATATTTTGAGTAATGAATAGATTCGTTTATAATTTTTAAAGTTTTAGTTGGAAAATATTTTAAATCAAAAATTAAATAAAATAAGGAGAAGATAACGAAATTCATTTGAATACTTGAAATAATCAAACAAAATTGTGTTATCCATTGTAAAGTTTTACGCAGATATTGATCGACTGTGCACAAGAAGTTTCAATAAGTTTTATTTTATATAAATGTCCAGAACACCAAAAACATTTATTTGACCTTACAATGTTAAAATAACATCACAACAATAGATTTGCTGATTTTAAATTTTCTAAAAAAATTATATATGACATACAACGTTGATAATCTCGAACTGCCGGCATTTTGTCAAAGCAAAAAAATAATAATAAAACCTACAGTAATGAAAACATGAGACTGATTAATTTTTCATTATTTATTTTATAACTTATTTAATATACAAATTAGATCTATAATCGTGTTTATACGTTTATAGTTACCAAATTACTGATGATAACTCATTCCTAAATTTCTTTTCTTAATTTTGTTTTTTTTTGTTTTCATATCAAATATAAATAATTGTACAGAAAAAATACAAGGAAATTATTAACGTGATAGCTGATAAGACAGCAGCATAGTCAAGCTATTCATTTTTTTTTGTTGTACATATATAAATTTAAAAAAGCTAAAAAGTCAGCGATCGATGAAAAATTATTACATTTTTATATTGTTTTTTTGATTTTTTATACAGTGGAAATGTTCTAATGTGTTATAGTCAAGCAGTTTATTCATATTTGATACTTCAGGCTGCTCTTTTCATTATAAAGGGACTGGCGACCGAGCAATGTTTAATTAAGATGCTG